ACACGTGTGCTGTCTTGCTGCACGTCCCACTCCTCTCTACTTCCAGTGCCAGTGCCATCCTCTCGGCCGCCCCCTCCCCTCTCGTACCCTGTCTCCGCGCTCCTCCGCCCACCAACCTAAAAGAAACTAGGGCCACAATAAAATGAACAGGACCCCACCCCCCAACATACGTTCGTAGGGCCGCCCCAAAACGTAACTTGAATCCGTTGCAAACGGTCCGTTTCAAACGGTCCACGGTCCGTCTCAAACGGCCCATGGTCCGTTTCAGCACCAGGGTCCATTTCAAACGGTCCATGGTCTGGTTTAGCACAAATAAGACCCCCAGAAAAGTAAAGAGGAACACACCAAAGAGGAAACAGTGCCATCCCAAGGGGTGGACGGGGAGGAGGTTTCCCGACAGGAAAGGCTTCTCCATATGTGTCGTTCTAGGTTGATGCGTGCGCCGAGGGCAACAGGGCCCTTCCCAATGCACGCCGCGCTTCGCGAGACAGCCGCCTGCCTCAATCAATTACATACCCGTGAGCTTGCCCATGCCAATTACGTACACATGACTGTACGAACTGGTGCGGATCAACTAATCCAACTGTATGGGTTGTAATCCTTCGCGGCGTGTGGACGGGAAGTCTAGATTTAGATGCAATTTGTTTGCCGCGAGTCGAGATGCGGCCCCAAGTGCCCGATGCCACGGCTTACACTGAACAAGCAACGCAGGCGAATTGAAACCATGAATCGTCTGTGATGCGAATGCCACGCCGCCTGTAGGTACACATGCAAAAGTCCAGCGCCATTTGTTTTGAAAAAAAAGTCGCTAGTTTTCCAGACAAAAGGATACGTTTTAGCTTTTAGTCGCGTGTATTCCTATGGTTTCAACTTTATATAGGACGAGTTGGGGGCATCAGTAAGCTGCCCCCCCTCCCCTTGGGCTCCAGGAATGTTCGTGTTCGTACACGTCCCTTCGACGCATGCACAGTTGTGCGGCTTAGGCGTAGGGCGCGTGCTGTTAGGGCTGAGGGCATAGGGCTGAGGGCGTAGGCCGGAGGGCGTAGGGCTTTCGGCGTAGGCTTTAGCGCGTAGGCTGTTAGGAGTAAGGGCTTGGGGCATAGGGATCAGGGCGTAGGGCTTGGGCGTAGGGCGTAGGCCCCAGGGCGTAGGGCTTAGGGCGCGCGGGCTCAGGGCGTAGGCCAGAGGGCGCAGGGCTGAGGCGTAGGCCTGAGGGCGCAAGCCTTGGGGCGCACGGCTTAGAGCGTAGGGCTTAGAACCAGGTAGGGTTTAGGCCGCAGGCCTCCCAAGGAGGGTGGGTTGTGGGGGGGGTGAGGGTGGGGGGGGGGGGGGGGGGAGGGGGGGGGAAGGAGGGGGGGGGGAGTGGGGAGGGGACGAGGCGGGGAAGGAATATGAGGAGGAGAGGGGGGAGGGGGTGAGGGGGGGAAGGCGGGGGGGCAGGGGGGGGGAGGAAGGGGGGGGAGAGAGGGGGGGGGGGCGCATGGGCACTCGCACCATCGGGGCTGCGTCGGTGCACAGGCAGGTTGGGTACATGCACCAACCTGCCTTTTCCAATTTATGCCAAATACAATTTTTTGGTGATTTTTTGATGATCTGGGATGATTTTTTGATGATTATTTTTCTCATGTGCCCTACCTGCCTTTCGTTCTGAAAGGCGAGTAGGGTACAGTACCCAACCTGGCTTTGGCAGTGCCCAGGCCCGTTGGGTACCGTGACGATGTTGTCTTGCTCCAGCAGTGAGGACTTTCGGACTCGCGACCATCGCGCCCCGACCTTGTTCTGCGCGCCAGCGGGTTGGCCCCGACCATTTTTTGATGATCTTTTGATGATTTTTGGATGAACTTTTGATGATCAGTAGCGGCCGCCCTGGCCACCCAGATGATGTTTGGATGATTTTTGATGATCTTTTGATGATTTTTGGATGATAATTTGATGATATTTTGATGATTTTTGGATGATAATTTGATGATCCTGAGGTACACCATCCACCCCAAAAACGCCCTCGCGCGCGTGCCCTAAGTACCCCCCCCCCCCCCCCCCCCCCCCCCCCCCCCCCCCCCCCCCCCCCCCCCCCCACACAACCCATACACACCCCAACACACACACACACACACACACACACACACACACACACACACACACACACACTCCCCGCCTCCCCCCCTTGGCACTATTGCACTGGGCTTATTTTTTCTTTGCTGCGACAATAACTTGTGCGCGCGCCCCATTAGGCCTGCGCGGCTTCCTGAGACACGCTTCAACCGTCGGAACAACAATAAGTAGCGAAATCCGTTTCTGTCGGAAGCGACCCCGCCTGCGCAGTTGGCGGCGGGGCGCAGCGCCATCCGCTCTCAAGCGGAATTAAATATGCCAGGCACCTTCGCATCGCGGGATTTCGCTTCCAAAACAAAGTCTGCACTCAAACATGCTGGCCTGCCTGGGCGCCCGCGCCAACCGCGCGAGGCGACGCCGCGGTATCGACGGCGCGTCAGGTAGTGCGGGTGCGACGATGGGTTTCTAGATGAAACCCTGCGCCGCGACCGCGCGCGGATTGCGGCGTCGTCCAACAGGGCGGCGGCGTGGCCGCAACAAAGACGCGTCACGTGCCTGGCCTCCCTCTTGGGAGGGGTGGATTTCGATATCTCAGCCTCGCCCCGCGGGGCTCACGCAGGGCTCCCCGCGCATCCTTGCCACGTGCATGTTCTGGACATGGGAACAGCACGGGGCAAGTGCGTCTTTCCCGTGGGAAGCCGCACCGCGCGCCTGAGGGCCTCGCATCTGGCAGAGGGTCTCGCATCTGGCAGAGGGTTTCGCATCTGGCATAGGGCGCTGGTATCGTTGAAGTTGAAGGCGATGCCAAGCTTCGTGTCGGTTGCCAGAGTGCCAGAGGGCCCCAATCTTTGTCGTGCGCAATAGACTTACGCACTTACGCCCTCGGCGGCCACAAGTTCTGATCAATTGCCAGTGCCTGCATTCCCCAGGCGTGCTTGTCACGCTGCCCTTTTCCTCAGACTCACCTTCCTGTGGCTGTCGATTTCGATGTCTACTCACCTTCCTGTGGCTGTCGGTTCCTCAGGCTGCCGACGGACACAGGTCTCGCGCGCGGCCCCCTTGGGTGCTGCGCAGCACGGCGCGATGGCGGGAGGGGCCGGAGGCAGGCCTTCTTCGGCGAAGGCGCCGAAGCCCCAGCAGGGCGGCCGCGGTCGTGGACGTGGCGGAGGCCGTGGCCGCCCCCGCGCCGCAGCGGCCGCCGCTGGCGGGCTCGTCGAGTGCGGGCTTTGCGGCTCCAGCGAGCGGGACACGGGGCAACGTTTGTGCATCCATGTAGATTCGCACAGCACATGCCGCATGGTAAACGTATTGTGTTTGGTACCATGTTTTCACTACCTGTTAAAACATACGCACGTTGTTCTTGCCTTGATGGGTTCTGGAGTCCGAACCACCACCAGAAAAAACGATGTACGTTACCGGAACAGTCGCTGCTTCCCGTCTTGGACCCCTTCACCCTACCCCTGCACCCTACACCCTACCCCGTGCGCCCCCCCCTACACCCGCACGAATGTTTGTATTTCGCGTTTGGCCCTCCCAGAAGGACCCTGTGTTAACGTGTTGAGGTTTGCGATGTTGCTTACATACAGGCGGCCTCAGGGCTGCCTCAGGGGCGCGTGGGCCCCGCGGGAGAAGCGCAGATGTCTTGATCAGTTCACGCCTGGGTCCACGAAATGCCTTGGGGGAGGGAGGTTTCGATGAGGGAAGCGGTCCCACGATTCCCTTTCGAGCCTCGGGCCCAGGAGATTTACAGATTTCCAGGGCCTGTACAGATTACTGCCACGCCCTCTACAGGACTGCCAGATCTACGGGAAGGCCGTGCAGGACTCGAGCTTGCAGAAGTACCTCGGCGAGAACGTGACCTCGTGCGTGAGGTGCTTGGAGTTCGTGAAGCACCACTGCCCAGGCCTGACCGTCGCTACGCTGGTGCAGGTTGCGACCGACAACGAGGACCTTGGCTTGTGCGTGCAGGGGTGCCTATTCGACAAGATGGACGTCGTTTCGCAGATGCCGCACCTGAAGGCGCCCCTCCAGACAGGAATCGGCCACGAGCTGTACGTCAAAGCTACTGCGCTGAACGCGCACCAGGTGCAGACCGAGTTCTCCAAGAGTCCGAAAGCTCTCGGCATGAAGCCGCACCTCGTGCCCGCTCGTGGCCAGATGGCCATCGTGTATCCAGTAGAGCGCACGGCTGAGTTCAAGGCAAAGTACCCTACGTTGAAGATATTCGCGTGCTTTCGCACGCAGACGGAAGAGGAGAAAAGCCCCTTTGGTGCCAGGAAGCGGTTCAAGGGCCAGATCCCCCTCATCCACATGGGCATCGCGAGTGAGGAGGCTGCCCAAGATGACACCGCCGACGTCCTCACTGCCATCGCGATGCACATCCCGACGGTCGACGACCTCCACGCGCGCGTCGATGGGCTGAAGGCGAAGGCGAGTGCACGGATGAAACCCACGCCGCGCGAGGGGTCCACCAGTAAAGATTTGATAAAACTTGCTTTGGGAGGTTCCGACTGCTCCGACCCCAACGGCACGGTCTACTTTTTTTTTTTGTTTTTTTATCTTTCTTTTTTTTTTTTTTTTTTTTTTTTTTTTTTTTTTTTTTTATTTTTTTTTTATTTTTTTTTTTTTGTTGTTTTTTTTTTTTTTTTTTTTTTTTTGCTTTTTTTTTTTATTTTTTTTTTTGTTTTTTTTTTTTTTTTTCTTTTTCTTTTTTTATGTTCTGCGGTGGCGGCCGACGACGAGGACCTGAGCGGACCCAGGCGCAATGGGCAGCTTTTTTTCCTTTTGTTTTTTTCTTTTTTTACTTTTTTTGTTTTTTTTGTGTCTTTCTTATATTTACTATTTTTTTTTTTTCTATTTATGTGTATTATTATTTTGTTTAAGTTTTGTTATTGTTGTTTATCCTTTATAGCGGCGTCTCGTGTGCCGCGAGCGTGGCTGGCTCGGAGGCGTCGGCATCAGTCTACACGCCCATGCCCTCGCAGCTGAAGAGGGGCATCAGTTCTACCAGCCTCGGAGGCGCCTTTGGGCCAGATACCCCGAACAAGAAATTTAAGGGCTTGATGGGCGCACCCCTGAAGATCGAGAATGAGCACAGGGTTGGGACGCCTCAGTACTGGATCACCGAGCTCAACCTTCACATGCTCTTCGACGGCGCCAAGCTGGGGAAGCAGGAGGCGCAAGCCAAGCTTCTGTTGCCGAAGCTCCCCCCTTCTGAGCGGAACGGCCTGCGCGTCCACATGGATCTCGTGGAGCACGCGAAGAAGATGAACAACGTGCATACCTTGAGTGACCAGGAGCTCCGAGATGCTTGGCAGCCATTTGCTAAGTTGGGAATGCTTCCCACGCCGGAGCTCGCACTCAGTCTGGTACAGCGCCGCGTGGACTACTTATGGAAGGAGCTCCATGTTGCGAGTAGAGTTGAGAAGGTCGAGGGCTTGTGCAAGCAGTTGCTGGAGTGTCTGGGGATCTGGTCAGACCAGTCGGGTGCCCGCTTCGACGTATTCGACCCCAAGCTGATAATCACAGGCGGCACGGACGCCGAGATAGCGGACTTCTTTGTGAAACGCGTCTTCGCGACAGGCATCGGGCATTGGATCAGCCAGGGAGCGGCGATGGAGACGCACGTGCAGGAGTTCGCCCTCGTTGCTGGCACGGTGTGGTCCGACCTTCCCGAGGACGCAGACTTGGGTCACGATTGCGCCTTGGTCTTGCTGGACGCGCGTGCGGCGATGAGGATCACCAGGAGCTTCTTAGTCGCAGTCATTGACGACAACACTGACATCGAGATCTTTCAGGAGTACCCTCGCTTTGAGCAGGAGGCGTTGCGCACCGCGGGCTACGCCGCGCCGGCGCAGGCTCTCGGTCAAGCTTTGAATGCTACCTCTGGCTTGTATTGGAGGCAGCAGTTCGAACGGCTGAAGGCTGATTCCGACAAGATCCGAGAGTTGGGGTCCAGCATCGCCGACGCGATCAGCAAGGTCACGAAGCAGCCCGCCCAGGTTTCCCAGGCCACCATCAAGGAGCTCAGAGGCGTGTGCGAGAATTTCCCTTACTGGGAGCAGCAGGTGAACGACCAGATCTGCATCAAGCTGCGCGCTGGCCCCATCAAGAAGGTTTCGTGGGTGGCCGAAGAGCTGCTGAACAAGAAGAGGAAGCTCGAGCAGAAGGGCTCCTGCACGGAGGAAGACGAGAGGACCGTTCTGATGCATGGCATGAAGGAGCTCCTCAGGCACGTGGCCACAATCGACCCGCTCAGCGAGGAGATCGCTCGGTGGGCCTCCAGGCTCACCGACGCCTTGCAGGACATGGACAGACAAGGGCGTGAAGATGGGGATGGTATCCGAGGCCATCTTGGCTTGGACGCCCACGATGGCAGAGCATGCCCATCGGCTGCGCGGCGCCATCGGGGCTTGCAAGCCAAACACCGTGTCGGGGAAGGTCGAGAACAATGCTTACAAGTTGTTGCAGAGCATTGCGAACGATTTGGGGCAGAAGGCTAGCTTCGGCAATGGCACCGACGCTCGCATCTACGACGCGGTCGAGATGCTCGCAGAGATTTCCCCGATGGACTTCAAGCGCGACACCGAGGCGTTCAGCGCCTAGCTGAAGTCGGCCTGTAGGCTCGAGTGCGTAACGGAATCCGTGAGGGCGAAAGTGCCAGACAGCCAGGGCAACCACAACGACTTGGACAAGCTGGCGAGGGAGTTGAGCCAGGCCCTTCAGCGCGTGCCGGAGAAGAACATGCCCAGCGGCCTGGTGGCGAAGTTCTCCACGACCCTCAACGAACGCGAGGAGAGCACGCGTAAGACGGCGAAGGAGTTGGTCATGGAGATCGGCGAGCAGGTGAGGGGCCATTTCTACGACGGGGTGCAGACGAAAAGCCAGAAGCTCCACGCCGAGATCGACCAGGACGCCTGGGCAAAGGCCTGGGTTACCGGCACGGCTGGCGTTGAGGAGCTGGCGCTTCTGCTCGAAGTGGGGGCCCACGAACGCAACTCTTCGCAGGCCGAGCACTGGGGTGACATGGCGGACAGCCTCCAGTCGGAGTTCGCGACGCTCTTGCAGACGACGGTGGACTTCGAGCTTGCACCGAAGGCTGATATCGAGACGACGCTCCCTGAGTTGATCCGCACTGCCCGCGTGCTGCACCTCGAGCACAGCCTCATCGGCCACTTCACCAACGAGGCGACGAAGCGTGACAAGATCTTGCTGCGGGCCAAGATGAGGGACATCCAGGGCTGCCTCAAGGAGTGGTCGTTGACGCCAGAGGACTTCCCCACGGCGCTGATCGCGCGCTACCGCGCGGGCCTGCGCATGACGTAAGCTGACGGAGTCAGCCGCCTCCGCCTGCCCCCAGCGCCGAGCCGAAGTGGAGGGGTGGTTCAACTGCCTCTGGAATGGCTTCTAAAGCAACCCCAGAACCCCTGGAGTTTTTGTTATCCACTCTAGGGCCTCTGGATTCTTAACTTGTGTTCGGGATCTTGGAGATTGAGTTTCCATTTGCATTCCAGGGCCTCGGGAGAAACAAAGAAAGACAATGGGATAACATGTGTTACTCCTCTGCTGTAATTCGTGTTTTCGTTGAGTGAGGCCGCGCGTCGTGCGGCAGCTGGATGCTCGTGTGGGATGGGTCAGGGGGCTGAAGTATGTCTCCCATTCTCCCCTCCTTACCGTCGTTCCTCGCATGATCCCCCCATTTCCTCCGCAACTCTGCCCAGCCTTCGTGCTCGATTTTGGCCGCCCCCGACCCAGTCCCCATCCTAGTGCCGCTTGGAGATTTCTAGAAGTGCTTCAGATGAGGGCTGAAGCACTCGAAGTTCGCAGCTCTCTTCGACGCTCGTGGTGCCAGCACTCCACGCTCTGCTCTGGGCGAAGACGATGTCTATCCTCCCGCTCTTCCTCCCCCGTGCCCCCCCCTCCGATCCCCCCTCTCCGCAAAGTGGGCCCAAGACGGCTCCAAGATGGCACCAAA